CAAGGCAATAACAGAGGCGCTGGAATGGATCAGCATGGAAGCGTATAAACATGCCCTGTTTGTCACAGACTCGATGAGCACCCTAGAAAAAATCAGGAGTGGGTGGCTCTACAGTGACTGGAGAGCTTCCATTGCAAATAGCCACCTCCTAAGAATTACATGGGTGTTCTGCCCTGGTCACGCCGGGGTGCATGGAAATGAGCGTGCTGATGAACTTGCCGGCAAAGCAGCACCCAATGGCCGAATCATGCTCGACCCACCAATGGTGATCGCCAGATGCAAGGAGAGCCTTCACAACCAAGAGGAGTCAGACTCCCACACACTCAACACAATAAAAGGAAAGTGTTTGTGCGGGGCACAGCGAAAAAAAGTTTGCTCCGAGGAGTGGTCACGCGTGTCTCAAACCAGCTCCTCATGGAGACAATTAGCAGGAAGACCCTGAGGTGGACGCTGGAAAGGAGAGATGAGCAGCTATGGACATGTGCCGCCTGCTATGATTCTAGCTCTGGATCCAAGTAAATCCAAGTAAATCTTATGGGAAATTGTTTTGTGTGTGCAGGCGTGTGGGCTTGTTTATTACTGGATTGAGCTGTTATCTATCTATCTGTCTATCTATTTATCTGGATTGAGCTGTTATCTATCTATCTGTCTATCTATCTATCTATCTATCTATCTATCTATCTATCTATCTATCTATCTATCTATCTATCTATCTATCTCTTCCTACCTCCCAGAAGAGGCACCCCCTGTGGTATCCCTGTCAGTTCAGGGCCCGACTCTAGATCAAAGTATTCAAAGAACCACGGATGACCATCGTGTTGTCACAGTCTCTAAACAAACCTGGGTCACTCTATGATGTGAAGTCACAAACTTGGGGACCGACGATGAGATCAAGATGAAAAACTTAACCGCCGACAAGGTTCTGCAGTCAGGTGACGGAGAAAGAGGCGTCCGATTGGTGGATCTAGGTCAGGTGACGTGTCCCGGGGGTCACGTGTACAGGTGTCGTGTGAATGGCGGGAAGGATGGCGCCATGTTGGCTAAACAGGACCTCAGGCTGGAAGTTTTCAATTGTGAGTGGCTCGTGTTCGCTTTTTCTTTTTTTTTGTTTTTTTTGGTAAGTGTTTTACGGCGCTCACAACTGCATAACGTCATAGGAACGCACGGGACACATTAAACTTTTTCAGTTGGTAGGAAATTTTGAATTTTGCCCGGGTGGTGGCCGAAGCCTACTCGTGTCGATCTTTCATACCAGAAGATCAGTGGTGTGGCTGAAAGACAGCCGTAAGAAGGAGTCAAGAAGTAGCAGTAGAAAGTCTGCAGAAAGAGTCAGGAGCCCAGAGGAGGGGGCAAAGGAGGTGAGGGGGTGAGGGGGGGGCAGAAAGTGGAGACAAAAACAGACGACAGAACATTGCATGAGAACACAGGAAAGAAGGTGAAAGGAGAAAATTAATTTAGAGAAGAACATGTTTCGTCGTTTCCCGGATTCGACCCCGGGACCTAATGAATGAGAGGCGAACACCTTAACCTCAAGGCCACGAGAGCCCCCTTGTGTTTGTTGTTATAGTGAGTGTGTTGTGGTTGTTGTTATAATAAGTGAGGTGTATATTTAGTCATTTTTACCCTGCCTCTTACTTCCGCTCACCCCAATCCTTGTTAAAACTTTTTTTCCTTCCTACTCTCCATCCCCCCCCCCTTTTACCCCCATCTCCTCAGGTGACTCTGGGAACAACAACAACAACAACAACAACAACAACAACAACAACAATAACAACAACAACAATAACAACAACAACAACAACAACAACAACGACAAGGAAGAGGAGCACGACATCATCATCCTTATCGTCGTTCCCGTTATCGCCATCCTCGTCTTCGTGGGCGTGGTTGTCTGTGTCGTCATCATGGTCCACTGGAGAATTAAACGTAACTGTAGATAGCCGGATGTGTTTATTGGTCCATTGTTGTCTTTTGTCACGTAACTGTAGATAGCTGGATGTGTTTATTGGTCCATTGTCGTCTGTTGTCACGTAACTGTAGATAGCCGGATGTGTTTATTGGTCCGTTGTTGTCTGTTGTCACGTAACTGTGGATAACCGGCTGTGTTTATTGATCCATTGTCGTCTATTTTCACGTAACTGTGGATAGCCGGCTGTGTTTATTGGTCCATTGTCATCTGTTGATTGTCATTTGTTTTCCTGTAACTGTGGATAGTCGCCTTTTTTCATTGGTCGATTGTCATCTGTAGATTGTCATCATTCTGATTCTGTTTTCATGTAACTGTGGATAACTGGCTTTGTTTAATGGTCGATTGTCGTCTGTTGTCACGTAACTGTGGATAGCCGCTTTTGTTTATTGACTATCTGTCTATAATTATTATTATCATTATTACTATTATTACTATTATTATTATTATTATTATTATTATTATTATTATTATTATTATTAGTATTTAAAATAGTAGGAGTAGTAGTAGTAGTAGTTGTTATTGTTGTTGTTGTTGTTGTCGTTGTTGTTTTAGTATTGTAATTAGTTATTATCATCTTCATCATCATCACCATCATCATCTTCATCATCAATGTCATCATCAACATCATCACTTTTGTTGTTTAATTGTTTTCTTCCCCCCTCCCTCACCTCCCACCACAACACC